TAGAAGTAGGCATTGTTATCAGGAGATGACAGCTCCATGCATGTTATTGCCTGTGAAGACCTTCCAGTGGGATAAAATGTGGAGGTAGAAGACAGTGATATTGATGATCCTGATCCTGTGTAGGCCTAGGCTAATATGTTTGTATCTTCATTTTTTAAATTTATTTATGTATTTATTTTTTGAGTTGAAGTCTCACTCTGTTGCCCAGACTGGAGTGCAGTGGCCGCTCCTGGCCACTGCAGCCTCCACCTGCTGGGCTCCAGCGATCCTTCTGCTCAGTCTTCCAAGCAGCTGGAACTACAGGCACACGCTACCAAGCCCGGTTGATTTTTTTTTTTACTTATTGTAGAGCTAAGGTCTTGCCAAGTTGCCCAGGCGGGTCTCGAACCCGCGGTTTCAGGCAATCCACTCACCTTGGCCTCCCAAAGCACGGGATTACAGGCTGAGCCACCGAGCCCAGCTGTATCTTTGTTTTTTTAAAAAAATGTTTAAAAGTTAAAAAAAGTTAATAGAAAACATTTTATAGAATAAGGACATAAAGACAATATTTTTGTATAGCTGTACATGTGTTTTAAGATGTATTATTACAAGAGTCAAAAAGTTAAAATTAAAAAGTTTATAAAGTAAAAAAGTTGGAGTTATTATTGAAAGAATGTTTTTATAAATTTAATGTAGCCTAAGTGTACAGTGTTTATAAAGTCTACAGTAAGGTACAGTAATGTCCTAGGCCTTCACATTCACTCACCACTCACTGACTCACCCAGAGCAACTTCCAGCCCTGCAAGCTCCATTCATGGTAAGTGCCCTATACAGGTGCACCACTTTAAAAAAAAACTTTTATACCATACTTTAACTGTACCACACAAATACTTACCATTGTGTTATAATGGCCTAGATTATTCAGCACAGTCACATGCTGTATGGGTTCAAGGCCTAGGAGGAATAGACTATACCATATAGTCTACATATGTAGTGGGCTAAACCATGTAAGTACACTCTATGATGGTCGCACAACAATAAAATCACCTAATGATACATTTCTCAGAAGGTATTCTCTGATGCATGACTGTAGCTTATTTAGCAACTATCTTTGACGTTGACTCCAAGACAGAGACCTTTTCTGTGTGCTTCCCATCAAACACTGCCCAAGAGATGCCTGAGAGTGGGGCTCAATGGGTACTTGTTAAATAAACACATGAAGTAATGGGTCCATGACTTCTCTCTCTGCTCCACATCTTAAGATCAGTTTCCCAGCTGAGGCGATCTCTTCTATCTTTCCTCTGCAGGCCTTCCCTCTTTCCTGATCAGAGGCAAAAACAGCAACTTGCAGACCTACCATGAGGGTTCAGGGTGAGCAGTTGGTAATAAGTGCAGTACAGGTAGGCAGGGGGTGCCCAGTGAATGCGGAGAAAAAGCTAGTTTGGACTTTGTCCTGCTCTGGCACCCTCCTGGCCTGGTTCTGGGTTCCCCTGCTGGGTTATGGTTATGTGGTTCTCTTGTCCTTTAACAAGACTTCTTTACAAAGAAAGGGTCATATCCAGAGATACCTTGGTGCCACCTACAGGCAGCAGCAGGGACAAAAGGCAGGTATTAGGGTCATGAATGACCGGTGGACTATGATATGGGCAGTGATGTGGGCCCACAAAGGGAAGATTTATGAGGGGCAATGATAGGAGCAGAGATGGGAACGGTACCTCGCAAAGGAGTTCAGGGATGGGGCAGAGATAGAGGACAGATAAGGACTGCTCCTTGTCCCAGTTCCTATGCACTGGGCACAGGTATAGGGAACAGTACTGGGACAGAAATGGGAGGCCACAAAAAGGACCACAATAAAGGTGAAGGACCATGATAGAACAGAGTTGGGCAATAACCCTGAGAGACTGAGTTGGCTTGCCTGCTTGCCTTGTCCCACCAGTGCCCTCCTGAGGCAGAATCTTTCTCTCTAGTGAGTATCTGACTGTCCTGACAAAGGGCAGATTGGCTCTGAATCTCAGGGTTGTTTGGGTCCTCCACCAGAATTGCTAGGTTCAGAACTTTGAAAATTACCTGAGAGGAAGAAGCAGGTTTGAGCCTCTGATTTCACCCCAGGGCCCACCCTCTCCACTTTTCCCTGGGCCTGACCTCGCCCTCAGTGGAAGGCTGTATGTCTGAGTAACACTGGTCACAGACGAGGTCACTAATCCTGTGACCAGGGGCAGAAGGACTCCAGGAAGAGGCCTGAGCAGTTGTGGGCAAAGTATATATATGTGCCAGGAGTAGCTATGGTCCACTGAGTGCTCAGGAAGCAGAGCTGCTAGGCAGAATGTCTGGGGATAGGAGGGACCTTTGGGTCACCAGGGGCAAGCATCACTAGTGGCCACTGGGTAGGAGGCACAAGGTCAACACTTCAGGCCGGGGCACTAGGTAACTTTTGGGTAAAGTAGAATGTACCCTCTAGGTCCAGCTGGATGGTGATATTTTCAACACCTGCAGCCACAAGGGCTAGTCAGAGTGATCAGACCCTGATCCTAGACCCCAGATTCCCACATATGGGCACCTTGGCACCCTCATCACTCTCTCTGCCTGCCACCCAATCTTGCTGCCACCACAGTCACATTTTCAATGTCATGGCCACTCTAGTCCTGAGAGTTACAGAAGAAACAATCCTCAGATTCCTGTGGGAGGGTCCAAGGAAACTAGATAGGAGATTCGTGATCAGACCCCTACAACAAAATTTCACAGCACAGGCCTCTCCCTCCAGCCCCCAGCAATGACCTAGACCCTCACAAGGCTAAACCTACCAAGGAGTCACCTCAGACACCAGTCTCCTGAGCCCTCACTCTCCTACTCACCTGCAAGTGACTGACAATGCAGCAGGGCTCCAACCATGGAAACCACAAGCCAATGAAGTTCGAAGGCTCCTTGGTCAACAACCAGGCTGCCAATGGGTAGGAAGCAACTGCCACCTGAGCAGTCAGGCAGAGGAAGGTTATCTGGCACATCCTGGGGAGTTGTGCTAGGACAGGTAGAGTCTAAGTAGGGATCCTACTAGGAGCCTGTGTTAGGACAGGCAGGGTCTAAGTAGGGATCTTAGGGATACCCCACCCTCATCCCACCCAGGGAGAAATCGGGGAGGCCAGAATTCTCCTCCCTTTCTAACTGCTCTCTGGGAAAGAGCCAACCCCTTACCCATTGGTGGTAGCAGTATAACTGTAAAGAGAGGATCCAACCCAACTGGGCACTGAGAGCTGGAATCAGGCCTGAGAGGGTGCTTAGTGGGCCCCAAGCCAAGTCACTCTTGAGGAGCTGAGTGTCATTCCCTATATTCACATCATAGTTGAAAGCAGAGGTGTCAGAGACAAGTAGCATGCAGGATTGTGGGGCTACAGCACGGCTGGGAGCAAGGGGTTCCCACAGCTTGGGGAACCAAGGGAGGAAGCATTTAGAGAAAGGATGTTAACAGCCACCAGATGAAGGATTAGGAGAGCATCAAGCACACAGAAGCTGGGCATGGTGGCTCATGCCTGTAATCTCAGCACTTTGGGAGACAAAGGCGAGAGGATTGGGTGAGTTCAGACCAGCCTGGGCAACTTGGCGAGACCTTCTCCCTTCTCTCTACAATAAATCAAGCATTACCAGGGTGTGGTGGTGCGTGCCTGTGGTTCCAGCTACTTGAAAACTGAGGTGGATGGATCACCTGAGACCAGCAAATCGAGGCTACGGTGGCCATGATAGTGTCACTGTACTCCAGCCTGGGTGACAGAGTGAGACTACTACTCAAAAAAAAAAAAAAAGCACGCAGAGCTTCTCCACAGGTCCACTATTCAGGGCCCAGACAAACCCAGAGGTAGAAAAGATCCGATTTTTAAGCCGGGCTCAGTGGCTCAGCCTGTAATCCTGCACCTTTAGGAAGCTGAGGTGAGTGGAATGCCTGAGCCTGTGGGTTCGAGACCCGCCTGGGCAACTTGGCGTGACCTCATCTCCATAGTAAATCAAAATGAGTCAGGTGTGGTAGCACACGCCTGTAGTTCCAGCTACTTGGAAGGCTGAGGCGGAAGGATCACCGGAGCCCAGTAGGTTGAGGCTGCGGTGGCCAGGAGCAGCCACTGCACTCCAGTCTGGGCGACAGAGTGAGACTCCAACTCAAAAAAAAAGATCTGATTCTCATTTCAGACGATGCTCCCATCCCCAGCTCTGAAAGGGTGTTCATCTTTAGGAAACTCTGGAAAATATGCCACTCACCACCCCCACACCCCTAGCCAATGCATTCAGCCTGGGAAGGGCAGTTAGTTTAACTCAGCATCCTGGGCCCAACCCTTCTGCAAAGCAGGAAAGGTGACAACGTCTGAAACATACAGGGCTGTAAGGGGGTGGGCATAATGAGGTTGGACCTAGGTGTAGAGAGAACACTTCAAAACCAGGCAGAAAGCACTGCTGATGAGGCAGTCATGAAAACTTCACTCAACCAAGAAAATTTTTTGGTGAGGGCAAGCTCTGCGGTCCTGACTCAGTTCCCAGCCCCTTGCCACCAAAGTTAAGGCTAATCACTCTTCTCCCCCGAGAGTAAAGGGGGAGAAGAACTTTAAACCTTTTAAGCCTATCCTCACAACAGACACGTCTAGGCAAAGCCCCAAGGTTTCAGCTAGGCTGTCTGCTTGGCCCCTAGGGAGTAGTACAACAAACCCTCCCTTCTCTGGCCTAAAAACATGCTGGCTGCAATGTTCCCTATGGAACTGACTACTGTTCTGTAAGGGGTCCTCTGGATAACAACCAGGGTGGCCTCAAAGGGAAGTGTCTTACCTCACAGTGGCTCTGCTCCTGCCCTCAGGGGATGCCTCTCACAACTGTAGAGGTCAGCATCTGAGTTTCCCCTCATCTCTCCAGAGGGAGCTGGCAGAGGCCCTCTTCCACAACCCCATCTCTGGCAGGCCTGTTCCTGGGGCCACTTTCCCTATATGCTCAACCTGACCTGCTGGCAGCCACACACACAAAAAAAGACCGTGGAGGATGGGCAGGGAGACTGGAAGGTGGAAAGGTATAAAACGTGATAGATGGAACAGTGGACATACAACTTGAATAACAAGTCACAGTGCATCACGCCATGAAAACACCCCTCCCGCCCGCCCTCCCCACCCCACCCCACCCCCTCCAGTTTCTGAAAGGAGGCTGGTGGCCACCAGGGCCCTGGAGAGGTACCCGGAATCCTCGAGGTTGCAGAGTCCACAGGCATAGCACACTGTGCCACTGGCTATACAGACACCTGGGTTGTTTCCCCAAACACTGCTGCGTGAAGGAATCAGGGTGCTGAATATGGTAGCAATGGCTGGAGCCGTATTACAGGAGACAGGTTCACACAGAGGATCCGCTGAGCCCACTGCCGTACCTCATCATCCGAGGACTGCCTATCTACCTTTATGGCACGGAACTTTAGCAGCTTTGCTGTTCCAGGCCCTAGCCACGCCTTAGGAGATTGGAGCCCAAGCCGTGTTCTCTTCTTGGGAGTAAGATCTTTTGTCTCCTCAGCCCTTTTCCTCTTCTGTCCAACAGTCTCTGGGTGACTTTTCTGGCCCTTCCTTGCAGTTCTGGCCTGAGTAGACCCCTTTGGCCTACCCCTGCCCCGAGTCTGAGCCATCTTGGCCTTGGCACGCACTGCTTTGGCCTTAGCTTTGGCCCGTACTGCCATGGCCTTGGCTTTGGCCTTGGCCTTGACCCGTGCTGCCTTGGCTTTGGCCTTGATCCGTGCTGCCTTGGCCTTGGCCCGGGCCTTGACTCGGGCCCTGACCTGTGCTGCCTTGGCCTTGGCCCGGGCCTTGGCAGCCTTGGCCTGTGTTCGAGCTACCTTGGCCTGGGCACGGGCAGCTTTGGCCAGTGTTCGAGCTGCCTTGGCCTGGGCTGTTTTGGTGCCTAGGACAGAGCCCCCTTTCATGCGCTGGCCAATGATGGACCCAGTGACTCTGTAAGTCTTGCTCTGAGGTCCAGTGCCTCGTCGGGGTCCAGCCCCGGGGCCTTTGTGGGTCAGACACTTGGAGCCCTTGCTTGTAGTTTTTCTGGGACCTTTGGGCCAGGAGTTCCCTGGGCCTTTCCCTGAACCTTTCCGAAGTTTCAGAGGAGAGTCTGCAAGTGAGAGCTGGAGTGACTGTGCCTTGTGTTTGGCACTCAAGCAGGGCATGGGAGACTTGAGTGGAACCAGGGCCTCAAGGACAACAGAGAGCCGCATGGCAGGGTAGACACCTGGGTAGAGGTGGGTAGGGAAGCCCACTGCTGCACCCTGGGCACGGCTAGCACTTGATTGCTTCAGGGAGCTCAGCAGCAGATTGGTGGTAGCATGCTTGGCAAGGGCTGGTGTGGATGCTTTAGCCAGCCTGCCAGACAGTGGCATGGGGAGCAGTGTGGCCCGGCCTGTGGGCAGCCGCATGGCAGTTCGGGGAGCACTGGATGGAGGTGATGTGGCAGCTGCATTGGGGGCACGAGCTTGCAACTTCGTCTGGCTTGGGGGATTGGCTGTACATGAACTATAGCCATAGACATCACCACTGCGCAGGATGGTAGGTTGGAAGCCATCATCTCGCAGGCCCTGCAGGAAGGCAACAAGCTGGGCCTCTGTGGCACTGAGATCCTGGCTCATGGGGTTAAAGACAAGCAGCGCCTCTTCCAGGGCCTTCTTTCCTGCTGTGGAGATACGTGACCAGGAGTGCACAGCTTTCTCCTCCACATGTTGCACCACCACGCTCATGGCATTAGGCACTGCAGATCTGCCCAGGTATGTGCAAACCAGCTCTCAGCACCTCCAAGGCAAGAGGAAAAGAGTCAATAAGAATGGCACTGAGATAGAGGGCCAGAACAGGCAGACAGGTCAATCAGGGCCCCTACTCTCTATGACACTAAGGGTTCCAGTTAGGGTGAGCCACTACCATGGTCTTCTAACCCTCTACCATGTTGGGGTGAGAGGGAGTATGGGTCAGGCAGCTTCGTGCTCAGAAGTACTTCAAAGCAATCCAACATGCTGCCAGATCCCTGGAAAGATTTGAGCTTGACACATTTCAATTCAATTCTTTATTCTCTGAGGCCAGAAACCTAGTATTGGACTTAGCCCTGGGAATGTAGGCAAATACCCCATCCCTAAGGAGCCTAGTCCAGAAGGAAAGATAGAGCCAGCCACCATTAAGGTCCTTGGGAGTATATGGTAGCACTCAGCTCAGCTTGCCAATGGGTCAGGGAAGGATTTCTGGGAGAGGCAACACTTAGCAAGAATGAATGATTTAGGAAGGGACCATATGAAATGGAGCAAAAAGTGGATTAGCCAATGCAATAGCTCCAAAGTGAGAAAGAGCAAGGCATATTTGGTGTGGGGTCTGGGGTCAGTGCTGGGAGTCCAGCTGGAAAAACAAGTGAAGACAGAGCAAAAAGAACTTTGAATGTTGGCCAAAAGGCCCAGACTTAAACCCAATGTCCATGCCCATCTTTGCTTCTACAGTTGCTAGTGTTCAGGTACAGTGGCAGGGTAGAGTGAGGAAATCCACCTGCCCAGCAAAAGTTCCGCTACGTAGACAGGCTACTCAGCAGCCCAATTCCTAGCTCCAGAGACATGGAGACCAACCCCAAGAAAAAAGCTAGACTTTTCTTCAATGGGAAATAAAAGGCTGATGGGTAGCAGGTGCTAATGACATGTCTCTAGGCAACCAGGCAGCCCAGGAACCAAGCAGACGGACCAAGAGCCCAAGGTTGAGGACAATGGGAACCAAAGGCTCCAAATAGGATGGTAAGTCAAATGGTCATTAGAGGTCTGAGCTGTCCTGCCTAGGGCTTGGTGAGCCACAGACCTCAGTACAGCCTAGATGGAGCTGTCTGGGAATACCCAACTTGTCTCAGGTTTCTTTGAAGAAGCTGTAGCTATCAATCATGATTAATATCTCATACCCAAACCAACACTGAGGGCTTCCAGAGGCAACAGGCAGCTTCCCAGCTGCACTGGAGCATTAAAAGATCAGCTGAGCTCAGGCTGGTCCCTGGGGCCATGACTGGCTGTCTGAGCAGCTTCTTCCCATCTTTAATGGAGTCTTCAGAATCCCCAGGAAGAAGTGCCCTAGGGCTCTTTGTTTGGAAACATTCTTGAATCCTCAGGTGTCTGGGGCACTTCCCCTCCCCATAGGCCATTCTCCAAGCACAGTCCTTGCACATGACTTTAGTTATTTTATTAATTTTTTTGAGGGGATGTAGCTCCTAGGGCTGTAAACTGTAGAACAGAGAGGGGCCTATTTCCCACCCCCATACGCCCCTGTCACAGGGGAGACCTAGGGGCTGCTCCGCCCAGATTGGGCTGGGCTCTTGGAAGGGTCTTCTGGGATTTCAAGAAGCTTCGGAAACACAAGCTGTTGCCGGGTCCCCAACTTCCCTTCACATGTGCCCCTGGGGCCGGCAGGGGAAGTTGACAGAAGACAGGGGTGGGGTGGGGGGTGGGATCGGCCTCATTGAGTACTGCATCGAGCTGAGCCAAGCCGCAGAGCCCGCCGCCCCCCAGGACAGCACGACCGGTCCCGCCTCGGCCCCCGGGTCCTCGCCCCCTCCCACTCAGCGTCCCAAGCTGCGGAGGCAAGGCAGTGTGGTGTGCAGCCGATTCCAGCACCTCTCGACCATCGACTACGTGGAAGACGGTGAGCCTCCCTCCTGGGTATGTGCACACACATGTACCATGCATACACGCCTCGGGAAGTGTCGGAGGGCAAGGAGTTGCAGA